GGGATCGAGCCCCGCATCGGGCTCCCTGCTCTGCGGGAAGCCTGCTTCTCCCTCTCCCACTCCCCCTGCTTGTGTTCCCTCTCTCACTGTGTCTTTCTCCGTCAAATAAATAAAATCTTTAAAAAAATAAAAATAAAAAAATAAATAAAAGTGAATACTTGGAGCAAGGACTACCCCCACTTGCTAGAAGTGAGTTCTAACGTTGGCTCTGAGCATTCTAGCAGCCAATACAAAAACATGTTAAAGCATTACCAGTTACTAGGAAATTATGTATGAAATTACACACTACTATGAAATTAGTGACTTCATAATATTAAAAAAAAAAGGAGTGAAGCACAGAAGGCATCTGAAGGCATTATAATGATCACTAAAACAGTTTTCTATTGGATAATGCAGGAACTAGGGTATTTGTGAGGGATCCTTGGAGGAAAAGACACATCTGCTAGTGGTTTCTGTGTGTGCGTGTGTGCACACAACCGGATACAATAGCAAATGGTTCACACGTACACACACACAAACACATGTGTGCACACCCACACACAAAATCACGTATACATGATAATCCAAAGAAGGGGTTATGATACCAAAACAGAAAGTAAAGGAGTGAGTTCTGTGGATTCGCAATATTAAAAACTTTCTATTGGGAAAGCAACGCCCAGGACAAACTAACAAGTTGTTTTGTGTATTAGTAACAAATCATTTGAGAAATTGTCCATACTTTGTTATAGTACATAATTTAATTGATCTCACCTGGTTTAAAAGTAATCAAACAGGAACGATTAGTACAAGTACCTTCTGGGAAAACTAGTATCTTGGGAGAAAAGGAATATGTAGATTTAATATTTCAGTCTAATTAATAGATTACCTCTTTACTCACTTTCTTATGATTTCACAAAGAGCTGCCAATTGTTATAAAGCAAAAGTGAAATAAAAGGCTAATACTTGATTCTATCGAAAGCTAGAATCGGATTATCCGGTTTTCCTCTAAAAGAACTGCTATCTGACCATTGAGATAATTAGAAAATGGATTAAAGCTTTGAATAGAAAATACACTTACTAAATGTTTCTTAATGACAATGCTAATGATCTGGATAAACTTAAAAGAAGATGCAGACCCTAAGTCCTGGTCAAAGCGCACATTAAATTCTTTCCTCTACTGCTTTACATCCTTAACCAAATCATTCCTACTTCCTTGTTTCTGTTTTCCCGTTAAAGGATATTCACTCCTACAACATACAGTGCAGGAATATATGGAGGAGGGAAAAAGGAGAAAACACTTACAACATGCTTTATGCTTACTTGGGTTAGTGGACATATGGAATACAATTTAATATCTTTTTTGAGAAAGTATTTTTAGCTTTTAACATAAGTCTTTTCTGTTTTCATGTGAAAGACATGTAGTGTAGTTAGTTTCCCCATTAACTGAACAAGCTGGATTTTCTGAAGCTTTTAGAATTTGGCAATGAGTGAATCGCTAAGTACATAAAATAAAAACAGAAAATTCCTGCACCCACAGCAGTTAGTATGTGTACTTAGTTGGTATTTGTATTTTATAATAATTAGAAAGGGAAAACATTATTAGGTGAAAGTGCCACCATGATGGGTTATTTATAAAATAAAAATGGTAAGTGTATGCAATTTCATCCCTCAAAAAAAAAAACCCAACAACAATCAGGTTTCCTATCGCAACTGGTACAATATCAAATATGGTTCATTCAGTGGAAATTCTATAGCTACTCTATTAACAATGAGTGGATATAGAGTAAATCATAAAATCTCAGATCTGGAAGGGGCATTAAAAGCCATCTAGCATTGCCAATGCTTGAATTCTTTCTACAATATCCCCCCCAAGTGGTTGCTTAGTCAGTGCCTGATAATTCTGGAAAAGGATTTCAGATCACATCATTCTACCTCTGGACAGAGAGTTCCTTGAGATGAGCGAGATGGGCTAAAATCTTACCTATTTGTTAACTTTGGCCTACCAGTCCTAGATATAGTAGTTGGATCCAAAGAGAAAAACCAAACCCTTATTCCAGGTGCCGTTTCTTCCTGGTCACTTTTTAAGTCATTCCTCACGTGCCCTGGTTTCTAAACCTCCTGGTGGGTCATACTCCTTTTAATATTTCAACATCTACACATCATCATGGGTGGCCAGATCACTACCAGATCATGAGTCCTGCTAGAGGTCCCCTACTTACACCTGGGCCAAGGTAGAGCGATACTTACCAGAATTACCCAGGAGGCTCCCTTTATCCGGAAAATGTTGCCCCTCCCTCACCTTCAAAAGGCATTCTAAGGGGATAGGGGTAGTAAGATGCTAAAGTCTGAAAAAGTTCTATAGGTGATTTGGATGTACCCGCTGAGCTGAAAAGCCCTGTCTAAATATACTTCGGATAAGATTAAGATCATAATCGATTCTTTAAAAAAAAATAAACCTACCATATTGTTGAGTATATTTGAGCTTTGATATTTTGTCTTTAAGATAATAAATAAATTCAGAGCTATGACACAAAGTAAAAATTGTTTCAAAGAGTTTGGAGAATAAGAAAGAATGATACATTAATCCCATGGAGTATCTCACGGGGAAGAGGACTTTTTAATACTCACTCATTTGTTCTGTTTCTATTATGCTGAAAACACCCAGCATAGGTGTCCCCAAATGCTGCCATCTGTGGATCCAAATGATTTACATATATACAATAAGTAAACTCGCACATCTAAATGAACTTCTCCTGTGTTTTACCTGCGGCCACTGCCCTCCTGATGTTGCTCGCCTTACTATTTCATTTATTGTGTTTTTTCGAGAGTCCGGATCTACCCGGGACACCAGCACCGGCTGCAAAGCTCGTAACAGTCCTTTAAAACAAACAAAAGGTCAGAGCCAATCCATTTTTTTCTTGGCTAAAGCTACCACAGCAATGATACTGAAAATCATAAAACAATTTTTATGTAAAGTTAAAATATAGCACATCAAAGAGAACTTTAAAAAAAAAACTGCTCTAATTCACAGCTTATCAGAAGGTTTTTTTATATCTACAAAGATTTCATTGCTATAACAGAAGTTAGCAGCAAGAATATGAAAGGAAACAAAGGCAATTTTCTCCCTGAAGGTCTTCTTCCTCAACTGACAGGCATTCAAGCTTTGGAATATATACCTACAATATTATCTTGTTTTATTTTAGGAATATCCTGAAAACTGATTGTGTGAATCCAGAGTACGCACGGATAGGGAGCAATTACTAATTTTACTAAAATTTTCAGCACGCCAGTCTAAGTAGGTAGCTTCCTCACACATGCAAAATAACCTCAATTTCCCAAAAATCTATTGCTAAACAGCTTTTCAGGAAAATGCCGTATTACACAAAGCAAGGTGGTTACACTGAGAAAAAAAAAGAGAGGGAGGATGTGTGTAGTGCGTGTCCATGTGTGTTTTTCTTAGCTGAGTGAAAAGTGGCAGGAACTACTGCTATTTGTCCAGAGTGCCAAGGTTACATTGGGAAACTTCCATACCCACTCTCTCACCACTGGATGTTTGCAATAACCTCAGGACGACCGGGAGCGGTTACTTAAAGATCCACACCCTAGGGAGAGACCAAAGCACCTGGTGGGATACACATCTCACTTGCTTCATTATTTTTTATGGCAGGAGGCACTTTATCGTTCCACATCATAATTTTCAGAGTTTCATATTGGTCCCTCATGCAGACTCTGGGGCAATAATAAGAAAACAGAGTTAAGAGGAAAGACTTCATGTGTCTATCAGCCTAATACCCCAAAGAGAAATTCGTGAAATAGCGTGTAACCGGTGTTTTCACAGATTCTTCAGTTAAATTCTCTCTCGAAAAAAATCAAGGCATGTTTGGTACTTGAAAGCTGGTCTTTCTAGCTAGATATAATGACAGAAAGCAGTGATGGTACGGTGACAAACATAAGAATCTGAAAGAACTCTAAGAGCACAGACAGGGAGGTCTCTAACCTTTATCATAAATTCCTTCCTTCGATATAATTCCTCACTAGAAGTAAGGAAAGAGCTTTGAGAGCTTTTAAAAAGCCCACCGATAAACGATAGATGATTTTTTTTAAAAGGTGACCCACGAGCATGAAAAGATCTCTGTTGTCTTACAAGTACTTACTGCCAATCAGAGGGACCTGTGCGTTCTCGTTTCGAGACACCATCGAAGGCAACCCGGCTGCGACACAGGCAATTCCATCAAAGAATGTTGAATGGGGGGCAGCAACCAAAATTGGGGCCTCCATGGGGCGCGCCACCTTTCCCTTCATAGTAACTATGAATCCCATTGAAAAGAACAGGGCATGACCCAGAAACTTCAAAACTGGTTGAGTGATTTCCCTTTGGAAAGAAATATTAAAAAAAGAAAGAAAGAAAGAAAGAAAGAAAGAAAGAAAGAAAGAAAGAAAGAAAGAAAGAAAGAAAGAAAAAAAAAGAAAAGACACAATTAGCCTTGCTAATCTCAGCTAATGGCGGGGCTTTACTCTAAAACACAACACAAAAACTCATACGTGTCAGAACATTACATTTTAAAATATGAGCTAAGAAGAAGAGCTAACAGTTATACGAAGGGTTCTTTCTGCCAGGCACTATTCTAAGGACTTTACATCTCTTTAATCCTTAGCCCAATTTTATGAAATGGGTATTATTTATTAGCATCCTCACCTTGCAGATGAGAAAACTGAGTCACAGAGAAGCACAATTTCCCAAGGACATATGGCTAATAAGTGGCTCCATTATTCTGTGACTATAAAGGGATAAGCATGAATTTTCAACACACATCCCCCACTGAGAAACCCAAATGAGTACTGTTCTTCAGAGGAGTCACCTTGGGAATGTACACGTGCGTAACAAAGATGCTGCTATCTGCCCCCAACACTTTTAGAACTCTCATGCTGAATCTGTCCTTACCTATATCATTATAGCTCTTAGACATCATCAAAAATCTTAAAAGGTAAATTCACCATCTCACTTCCCTGGAACATGATGCACTTACACAATTTCAGGTATCAAACTGCTTACTTTTTAAAAAGAATTTCTGTCATTACAGATTAATTAATTCATCGAACTGTGCCAGGTGACCTGTGTGGACGCACAAGACAGAGAAGATCCAGTCTCTGTCCTTGAGAAGCTCAACTGAGTAGGGAGACAAAAACCCACTTCTAGAAATGCAAACACAGAATGGATACCCAAGGATGTGAATAAGCACACAGCAGCTTTTCATGAAAAACAAAACATGTGTATTTCCCATAAGACATCTAATGAGAGCTTTAAAAAATAAGCTTCCTGTCTAATTCTCTCAACAGTCTTGTCATAATGCAGAGAAGTGAGACACAGAAAATCAAAGCACTTTTCCAGAGGGCACAGGGAAATGTGTGTCTCTCTTTCTTGCTCTCTCAAGTTCAGATGTCTATTTACCTAAGGATAAAAAGCTCACCCCGTTACCGAATTTCCACACCTCCTATTTTTGATTTATAGTGATGTAGATTCTAAAACATCCCATACTCAGAGCTGTTAAACACTTCTATTTAAATGATTTCAAAAAGGCTAAAAGTTTGGTGCTGCATAATTAACTTCAACGTTACCTGTTTGAGAGGAAGTAGAGAAACTTGCTTAATTGGCAAAAATAGAACTTTTTTTCCTAACATTTATTAAATCTGTTCTCTGGATTCTTGGACTATTCCCCTCTGTCATTATAGGGCTCCATAAGCCATTAACGATAGAAACCAAAGAGGTAATTGAAAGGGATTGGTGCATCATGAAAACATCTCTCATAAAGTATTTTTTAGTGATATGCAACCTTGAGTTCTGAAACAAAGGAGTGTGATTTGCAAGGATTGAGGTGGTATTAGTTCTCTGGCGACACTGCCAGCCTTGGATTCACTTCCACTTCAAACCAGCCTTGGGCTGAATGTTGACATTTATTCACTAGAACATGAACTGAATAGCAAATTGCCTATTTCTTTAAAAGTTTCTAGAACAGTGATTTTCAAAATTTTTGGAGGACATTCTCCTTTGAGATTTGGATGAAAGGAATGGACCCTGTGTACAAAGAAAAAAATGTGCACAATTTTAGAGAGTTCAACAGTGCCCTAAAACTCACCTATGGCTTCCTATTCCAAGGAATCCACATTTTAAAAGGCTTCACTCTCAGGATAAACATATGGCAACAAATTGGCTCTGCCCAATGGGAATGAACTTTTACCAGTAACTTTGTTAATTTGTGATGAGTCTATTCTCTAATACCCTGCTAATTAGATAATGCTCGAGAAGCAATTCCATTCTCCCTCCATACTAATGTTTTAAAAAAGCTAGACTATATTGATTAAGAATTAAACTGTTATTAATAATGATCACTAAAGTATTAAATACACTGTAACTTATCCACTTAATTATACCACTGCAGAAAGTACGTAGTTACTATAGAGGGACAAAAGCAAATGTCAAGACTGAGGGAGAGCAGAAGAAGGCCAGGTATTTTTCAGCTATAATGGTTTCAGGTATACTAATTGAGTCTTCCAGAACCAAGGATCTATCACTTTTAAGCAATAACTTAGAAAACAATTTTTTAATGTTAGGAAATTACAGCTTCAACAGAAGATTATCATAAGGTGCTTGGGCAGCAATTTCTCCATATGATGAATTAAGAACCGTTTCATCTGAGAAACAGAAATAAATGGTGAATATTGAGTCGGCAGCAGTAGATAAAACTCTCGATCGATGATTAAACTATGGCAAACTCTTCTTTATCTTGATTTACCTAACATTTAGACATTATTCTTTCTTACCTCCTCCAACCAGTTATTGGATGGGTCAGCTTTTCGGGACAGCATGCTGTTGAAATGGCGGCAAATGGCCATGCCAGTAATATAATTAATGCGACCAACAAGGCACGGATTGGAAGCAGGATAACTCCAAGAAATAAAATCTGAAAGTCAAAGTTGATTAAAAAAAAAAATAGGTGAATGGACAGTATTTTAATGTTCTGGCTATCAACCAGAAACATGGAAGAGGAAAGTTCTGTGTTATTTATGCATTCACTAAAGGATGAATTGAATGAATTGAACATTACCCTGCCCCAGACATGAAGCTAAGCACAAAGAAAAATAAGGTACTATATCCCGCCACACAACACCTACAATGTAGAAAAGCAACAGTGAAGAAAACCAGGTCCTATAAGAACATGTGATCTGTTTATCAAGGAAAGTGACTAGAGGATGCTGGGGAAACAAAGTATCTGACTGAGCAGTCAGGGAAAGCTTCCTGGAGGAGTTGAAGGCTGAATGGTCTTGAAAGACCAGCAGAAGCCAGCAAGGTAAGAGAGGAAATTGCTTTTTGAGAGCTATCAGTAGAAGGAAGAGTGTTAATGAAGGTGTTAGAGTGTGAAAGAGTAAATGCGTTATTTTATATACCTGCCAGTCCTTTATAACTAACAACAATAAGGAGATGGAGAAGGAAAAAGTCAAATAAAAAACAGGTAAGAATAAGAACGAAAATTAATAAGAATGGCCAATAATACACGAATGCTTATTATGTAGCAGGCACGAGAAGCACTTGGCATGCAGAAACCTATTTGATTCCTACAACCTTAGGCTGTTTTACATACAGGAAAGGAATGGCACAGAGGGAGTTAGGTGTAGCTGCTGAGATCACAGTTACTAAGTGGCAGCGCCAGGGTTTGAACCCAGCTTGGTTACAAAGCCCTTCCTCTTAATTCTATACCGTATTGACTTTTTTTTTTGAAAAAAATATTTTATTTATTTATTTGACAGAGAGAGAGAAAGCTAGAGAGGGAACACGAGCAGGGGGAGTGAGAGAGGGAGAAGCAGGCTCCCGGCCGAGCAGGGAGCCCGATGTGGGGCTCAATCCCAGGACCCTGGGATCATGACCTGAGCTGAAGGCAGACGCTTAACGACTGAGCCACCCAGGAGCCCCTTGACTTTTTTTTTTTAAAGATTTAAAAAATTTGTCAGCGAGAGAGAGAGCACAAGCAGGGGGAGAGGCAGGCAGAGGGAGAAGCAGGCTCCCTGCTGATCAAGGAGCCCAATGAGGGACTCAGTTCCAGGACCCTGGAATCATGACCTGAGCCGAAGGCAGACGCTTAACTGACTGAGCCACCCAGGTGTCCCACCATATTGATTTTTAAGTGAAATAAACTATCCTTATGCACACCAAATTATCTTCCTTCTATTAGCCAACTACACTACTCAAACAGCGCTGGTCTTCTGCCTCTCCTGGCCGTTAATGTGAATCTGAGCATCATCAAATAATTTATGAGGAGCACCAAATGATTTTGCTTTTCTGTCAAACAATTTAAGATATAATTTGATCTGTCAAATGATGTGTGTGCATGTGTGTGCGTTTGAAGTCAAAATTACGTACAAGGAAATGTACAGCTCTTAAGTAGATCATTCAGTGAGTTTTGATAAATGTATACCCTTGTACCTACCACCCAAATTAAGATGCAGAACACGTCTACCCTCCAGGCATCTTACGCCTCTTCCAGTGAATCCCTATCCACTTAGGCAACCGATGCTGGATTTCTATCACATAGATTAGTTTTGTCTGTTCTTGAACGTCACATAAATGAATCATACATTATGCATTGTTATGTGTCTAAGCTTCTTCCGCTTAACATGTTTTTGAAATTCAACTATGTGATTTTGTAAATGACTAATTCATTATTTTTGATTGCAGAATATGATTCCACTGTATGCCAACAGGACAATTGGTTTATCTATTCTCCTGTTGATGAATCTCAGGGTTTCCAGTTGTGGGCTCTTACGGACTGAAGACCCTATGAACATTCTTATGCAAGCCTTTTTGTGGATATGTGTTTTCCTTTCTTATATGAGGAGTGGAACTGCTGGGTCATAGATAGTTTAACTTGATAAGAAACTGCCAAAGTGTTCTCCACAGTGGTTGCATCATTTTAAAGTTTCACTGCCAATGTATGAGAATTTTGGTCACTTGCACATCCTTGCCAACATTTGGTCTTAGTATTCTTTTAAAAAAATCAGCTTTATCATGGCATAATTTATATAAAATAAAATGCACCTATTTTAAGTGTGCAGATTATGAGTTTTTCAAATATATATCCCTGGTCCTTGGCAACTAGTGACAGGCCCCTTTCCACCCTGGTTTTGCATGTTCTAGATTGTCACGTAGAAATCACCCAGTATGAATTCTTTTATGTCTGGCTTCTTTCCCTCCATATTTTTGAGATTCTACGGTGTTGTCATTATGTACCAGTAGTAAAGCCTTTTCAATTGCAGAGTATGATTCCACTGTATGAATGTATCATGATTCATTTTTCCATTCTTCTTTATATGGGCATTTGGCCTATTATAAGTTTTTAGCTATTATGAATATAGTTTTCATGGACATTAATGTTCAAACCTCGGTGTGGACATATATTTTTACTTCACTGGGAGTGAAACTGTTGGGTCACGGTATGGTTAACTTGTAAGAAACTGCCCCACCGTTTTCCACAGTGGTTGTATCATTTTACATTACCAACAAAGTATGGAAGTATCTGTTGCTCCACATCCTCACCAACATTCGGTGTTGTCAGACTTCATAGTCATTCAAGTGGGTATGAAATAATATCTCATTGTGGTTTTCATTCACATTTCCTTGATGAACAATGATGTTGAGCACATCCTTCATGTGCTTATTGGTCATTCCTTTAACTCTTTATGTTAAGTGTCTGCTCAAGTCTTTGGCCCATTTTTATTGGTTTGTTTGTTGTTCCCTTATAAATTTGTAGGAGTTCCTTATATGTTCCACTTCCAACACCTTTGTCGTTATATGTATTGAAGTATTTTCTCCCAGTCCATGCCTTTTCATTTTCTTACTGTATCATTTGATGAGAAGAATTTTTTAATTCTGATGTAGACTAATTTATCAATTTTTAGTTTTCGTTTTCTGTGTCCTTTCTAAGAAATCTTTACTTACTTCAAGGTCATGATGATATTTTATATTCTCTTTTCTAGAAGCTGTATGGTGTTAGCTTTTGTTTCAGTCTATGACCCATCTTAAATTACTTTCTGTGTGTGGTATGCACTAGGGATCAAGGTTTGTTTTTATCCATAGCTCTATCTAGGTGTTCCAACACCATTTTTGAAAAGACTTGATACTCCATAATGAATTTTCTTGGCAACTTTGTCAAAAATCAATCAAACACATATGTGTGGGCTCTCCATTATGTTTCATTGATTAGTTCATCTATTCTTCTGTCGATACCCCATTCTCTCAACTTCTGCAGCTTTTTTTTTTTTGCCCCCCCCTTTTTTTTAGCAAGTCTCAAAATCAGGTACTTTGTGTCCTCCAGCTTTTTCTTCTTCAAACTTATTTTCGGATAATCTAGTTCCTTTGCATTTCCACATGCATTTCAAATTAATTTGTCAGTTTCCACCCAAACAAAAAAGCCTACTGGGATTTTTATTAGGGTTTCAATGAATCTATAGATCAATTTGGAGAGTTTATCACCATAAAAATATTGATTCTTCCAATTTATAAACATAACATATCTCTCCACTTATGTAAAGTTTCATTGATTCCTCACAACAGTGTTTTGTTGTTTTCAGTGTAGTGGTCTTACATGTTTTTGGTTAAATATATTCCTAATTGTTTAACATTATTTTATTGCTATTATAAATAAGATTATTTAATTTTACTTGGCAATTCTTTGCTACTAGTATATAGACATGTAACTGATTTTAAGTTTTAATCTTTTGTCCTACAACCTAGCCAAGTTCACTTACTAGTTCTGGTTGTTAGCCATTTTGTAGATTCTTTAGGATGTTCTACATATACAAACATGACATCTGTGGATAAATACAGTTATAATTTTTCCTTTCTTATTTTTAATTTTTTTAAATTTTATTTTAAATTCCAGCTTAGTGAACATACAGTGTCCTATTAGTTTCAGACGTGCAATATACTGATTCAACAATTCCATACATCACCCAGTGCTCATCAAGACAAGTGCATTCTTTAATCTCCATATCACCCATCTTACCAATCCCCCCACCCACTTCCCCTTTGGCAACGATCAGTTTGTTCTCTATGGTTATGAGTCTGTTTCTTGGTTTGTCTCTCTCTTTTCCCCTTTGCTCATTTTGTTTGTTATTTGTCTGTTTCTTAAATTCCACATATGAGAGAAATCATAGGGTATTTGATTTTCTCTGACTGAGAAAATTCACTTTCCTTTCTAATCTCTCTGTCTTTTATTTCTTTCTCCTATTTTATTGCACTGGCTAGGACCCCCAGTTCAACGTTGAACAGAAGTGTTGAGCAAGATATGTGTCTTGTTCCCAACCTTTGGCGGAACAGCTTCAGTATTTCACCATTATGATGCTAGCCAAAGGTGTTTCATAGATGTACATTATTAGACTGAGAGTTCCCTCTTATTTCTATTTTACTGAGAATTTTATTTATTTATTTATTTATTTATTTATTTTTTATTTATTTATTCATGAGAGACACAGACAGACAGAGAGAGAGGCAGAGGGAGAAGCAGGCTCCCAAGGAGCAGGGAGCCCGATGCGGGACCCGATCCCAGGAGTCTGGGATCATGACCTGAGCCGAAGGCAGACACCTAACCATCTGAGCCACCCAGGCGCCCGAGAATTTTTTTTTAAATGTCAGTGGATGTTGAATTTTGTCAAATGAGTAACAAAATTTCTGCAACTACTGAAATGATCAAATGCTTCTTATCATATGTTTGGCTAATATGATAAATTACATTGAAATACACATTTTTGTATGTTAAACCAACCTTATGTTCCTGGAATAAACCAAATTTGGACAGGATATGTTATCTTTTCCACATATTGCTATATATTTGACATGCTAATATTTTGTTAAGGGTTCTCATATCTGTGATCATGAGGTAAATTGGTCTATAATTTCCCTTTCTTATAA